CATCCCAAGCCAGTTCTTAACCATCGTGCCACTCGGCCGGCCCCTAAAAGTTTTTTTTTTTCTCCAAAGTTTGGCATCCAAACTTATTTGGTGGTAAAACATAACTTAAAGTGACATGAAGGTGTTTATAGTCTATTTAAGCTACTTAGTGTAAAATTTTCATGTTTTACTGCAGAGATACTACTAATATTAAAAGTTTGATTGTGGGGGGCCGGCCGAGTGGCTTAGTTGGTTAAGAGCGCAAGCTCTGAGCAACAGGGTTGCCAGTTTGATTCCCACATGGGCCAGTGAGCTGCGCCCAAGCTGAGCTGCCACTGAGCTGCCAACAGGTGGCAAGATGGCTCAGCTGATGAAAGCATGTGCTCCTAACAACAAGGTTGCCGGTTAGACTCTCATATGGGGTGGTTGGCTACGCCCATCCACAACTAAGATTGAACAGGGCACCTTGAGCTGAGCTTCGCTGAGCTGCCGACGGGCAGCCGGATGGTTCAGTGGTTAGAGTGTGCACTCTTAGCAACAAGGTTGCTGGTTCAACTCCCACATGGGATGGTGGGCTATGCCCACCTGCAACTAAGATTGAACACAGCACCTTGAGCTGAGTGAGTACAAGCTACCAGCGGGCGGCCGGATGGCGACTGGACTTGGAGCTGAGCGCTAGCTGTGCCCTCCACAACTAAGATTGAAGGACAACAACTTGGCTGTTCCCCCACAATGTTCCTCTTCCCCAATTCCCCAATAAAATCTTAAAAGAAAAAAAATGTTTGATTGTGGAGTACTGTTCCAGAGACTGCTGGGGGGTGGTGGGTATTACATACCATACTATATTACAAGTCTAAAATTTGAAATATACTTGACCTCAAGAGTTTTGGATAAGGGATTGTAGACCCATTTTTCAGACAAATCAGAAAAAGTATGGAAAATGATATAATGAACATCTATGAACTCATCACCCAATGTATGAATAAATTGCAATAGCAACAAAGAAATTCCTGTTTGCCCCTGTCCTGGCCACAAAAGCCCTCCTCTTCTTTTCTACAGGTCACTTCTATCCCGAGCTGGTGTTTATTACTCTCAAGCTTGTTTTTTTTTTTTCTACTGTGTGTATCCATGAACATCATATACTAGTATTGTATTGCATGAATTAGACTTTATATAAATTGTATTATAGAAGACAAAACCAGTTTACTCCTGAGATTGTCTCAGTCTTCCTCCCCCAGCCTAGTTCTTGTCTGAAATCGTGAATGCCCTTAGTTTTCTCAAAGGGCGTTAGGTTTCTTGACTACCTGTCTTACTCACCACAAAACTCCTGGAATCATCTACTCTGTCTTTTTCATGATTTCCTTCCATGGCCTCTATGCCTCACTCGCCTCTTACTTTTTTCTTTCTGGAAGTCGGAATGTCCTGTTCCCTAATATCTTTTGATTCCATCTCATTGTTCCTTCTTCCTTTCAGCCCACGGGTGATGGGAAACCTACCAATTTTACCCTAGTCTCCCATGTGAGCAACAGATCAGGAGGCACCTGGGTCAGGGGAGATCAGGAGAGAAACACTCTACTGGGTTTTAAGGGGGTTCCAAAATGGGTGTGACAGAAATGAATACCCCGCAGCCTGATTGTTTGGAGAGAGACCAATTTCTATGGGCCCCAACCTCTCCATGTGGGAAGAAGATTGGGGGAAGAATGGAAGGCCAGAAGCTGAAGGCCTAGAATAACCTTCGTATTGACTGCTCATTCCTCTGCCTCCCCCTGCTACCTCCATTGCTTCACCCAGCACCAGTCAGGTTTTTCAAAGAAAATTAATTTGCTTAATATAAAATTCACACTTTTAAAGTATACAATTCAGTGATTTTTGGTATATTCACAAAGCTGTTCAGCCATCACCACTAAAACATTTTCATCCCACCCCCGATAAGTCACTTTAAGCACTTTGAGAAATTCGCAGTAGGTGACTCCTGTATCTTTAATTCTAAGTTGCATCTGAGCCTAGACTTTTACCAGCCACTCCCCATCCCCCTTCCCCCCCCAGATCGTGTTAACCACTAATAACTTTCTGTCTTTCTGGATTTGCCTATTCCGGATATTTCATTATAAATGGAATCATACAATATATGGTCTTTTGTGACTGGCTTCTTTCACTTAGTGTAGTGTTTTTAAGGTTCATTCATGGTGTAGCAGATCTTCATTCCTTTTCATGGCTGAATAATATTCCACTGCAATTAGTTTATCCATTCATCTGTTGATGGGCATGTAGCTTGTTTCCACCTTTTGGCTTTTGTGAATAATGCTGCTGTGGAACATTGGCACATAAATGTCTGTTCGAGTCCCTGTTTCCAATTCTTTTGGTTACATACCTAGAAGTGGAATTGCTGGGTCATGTAGTGACTCTATGTTTAACTTTTTTTTTTTTTTAATTTTTAAAAAAGATTTTATTAGGGAATTGGGGGAGGGGAGCAGACAAGTTGCTGTCCTTTTGTTCTTCAGTCTGGTTGTGGAGGATGTCGATTTATTGGCCCATGTTGGTGTTATCATTGTGCTCTTCCGGGGTGAGGCAGTTGCTCGCTGGCCATTGGACGGCCGCTCACGGAAGCTCACAGCAGCTCATGAAAGGTCACGCCCGCTGCCAGCGCTCATGATAGCTCACGGCAGCCCACTGCGGTCCCACTGCAGCCTGCGCCATCGCCGCCGGCGACTCACAGCAGCCCAGCTCCAGGTCGAGCTGTTGTTCACCATCTTAGCTATAGAGGGCGCAGCATCACTGGCTCTCATGTGGGATCCGAACCCAGGCCCTGCTGGTCAGAGCTGGCATCCCAAGCCAACTCCTAACCAGCGTGCCACTCGGCCGGCCCTATGTTTAACTTTTTAAGGAATGCCTTTATTTCAAAAATTTTATTCTTCTTAGAGCCAGCATTGGAGAAAACTGAAGTACAGAAAGAAGAATTACAGGAGCCTGAGGTGGATGTGGTAAGTTTGGATTTTCCTTGGGACAAATATTTCTCAGCTGCTGAATCAAAGGATTAGTTACAGAATGGTGTACAAGGAATTCTCTTCAATATATCACTCCTTCTACTTACTCTACTGGTAGCCTCCTCACCACAAATCCAGTTCACTGAGTAAAAGGCCAAGTTATCTATGACCAACACACCTCCAGAAGAAGAGGGTTTTAACTGAGGACCTGGTGTCTTAGTTGTCCCTTCTTCATCTCACCTCAGGTAAAACTTCGACAAGCTTTATCAGTCATATGGCAAATATCTGAACAAGCTGAACAAGCTGGCAGATATTGTGTTAATTGGATACTAATTTCTAAGACATTCACATTCTTTCTTTCTTTTAGTTCTCTCCTTTGGCTGAAGAATTTACAGAAGCCACTTCAGCACTTGTAGAATTTAGCACTAAATGATCCCTACATCTTTATTTCCAAGTTGTATCAGAGCCTAGCCATGCTCATAGTTACATGGGTTAGAAGAACAGAGTGGTGACGTTGAAATTTTTTAAAAAGGGAGAGAAAAGTAATAACTACTCATTAAAGAAAACATTGGAAGGGACAGAAAAGTAAAACAAAGAAAAGGAAACTAAAAGTCATAGCATTACTGTCTAAACACATTCAATGTTAATACTTTGGTATGTGTCTTTTCTTTCTGTGTTTTGTGAGTTTTTAAAAAATAAACCTAACTGTACCACATATAAATTTTTAGTAAGACTTTTCACAAAACAAAATTTTTTTTTTAAAGATTTTTATTGGGGAATTGGGGGGATGGGAACAGTGCTGGGGAATTGGGGGAAGGGGAACAGACAAGTTGCTGTCCTTTTGTTNAGGAGGGGTGGAGCGGGCCCAATCAAGTACAAATATGGAAAAATATTAACAATTAGCGAATCTAGATGAAGGTATGTTGTTCATTGTACTTTTCTTGCACCTTTTTTATGGGTTGGAATTTTTTTTAAAAATAAAAACTTAGGTAAATATTATTTAAGCCTCTAGTCAAAAAACCTAATTGTCTACCATGGGAAAACATCAGGCTGGTCTCAGACTTCTCCGAACACCCAGAAGCCCACACTTACAGAGTTCTCCAGGAAAGATAGTGTGACCCAAAGGTATTATTCCTGGCCTAGATAGTTAAGTATAAAGGCAACAGATAAGCAGTCATTTTCAATCTTGAAAGAACCCTACTTAATAAAAACAAAAATAACATCATCAACAAAAGTCCAGCCCATTAAGAAATGAACCAAATAAAAAACTCAGGAATAGAGAATTTATGAACATTCAATTCATTTACATAAAGATCTAAACTAAATAACTGTGGGAATTATGCTTATTATGCTATAGAATGTAAATATTATCAATTTGGACAATGTGAAAATAGTACTGTAACAAAAATTGGGAAGCAGTAAGAAAATGAGAGGGAATATGAGGGTGCCAGTGTTTTTACCTGTCAAAGTAGTGTCAATAGAAATTAAAATTGAAAGGTAGTGAGAAAACTAACCTCTTAATATTTTTCATAATCTCTCTTATAACTTTAGAAAGGGGTCTTTTGGGAAGAAATCTCTCTTACAGGTAAAGAAACATTTATTTGAAGCTTATCAATCCCTTTATTGTATTCATATCAATGTCTTTTCTGTTAAATCCAAGTAAAATGAAATTTAATACTTTTAATTAAAAATCACATGATCCTATTTTCAAATAACTATTTTATTTTTCTGTATGTATATATCTATAAAAAGATGTTTGGAGTAATTTTTTTCTCTAATGTTAATGGCATTGTCTGGATGATGGAATTTTATATGACATTTTAACTTTATCTTTGTACTTTTCTGCACTGTTTTGGTTATTTATAATTAATATATATCTTTTTGACAAAAATGATAGTTGTTAAGCTTTTTTTTTTTTGAAGATTTTATTGGGGACTAGGGGGAGGGGAACAGACAAGTTGCTGTCCTTTTTTCTTCAGTCTGGTTGTGGAGGACATTGCTTCACTGGCCCATGTTGGTATTATCATTGCGCTCTTCCCGGGTGAGGCAGATCAGTCGCCGGCCTCTGGACGGCTGCTCACTGGCGGCTCTTGGCAGCTCACACCGGCTGCCAGCCACACACGGTAGCTTATGGCAGCCCATTGCAGCCTCACTGCAGCCTACGCCGTTGCCGGCGACTCACAGCAGCCCAGCTCCAGGTCGAGCTGTTGTTCACCATCTTAGTTATAGAGAGCAGTGTCACTGGTCCCCATGTGGGATCTGAACTGGGGCCCTGCTGCTCAGAGCTGGCGTCCCAAGCCAGCTCTTAACCAACGCACCACTCGGCCGGCCCAATAGTTGTTAAGCTTTTAAAAAAAGATGCCAACATTTAATTCTGGGTAATGGGAAGACGAATGATTATTAATTTCTTATTTGTGCTTTATTTTCAGTTTTAAAAATGAAATAAATTATAAAGAGTATTTACAAAAGCACTAAGAAAAAAAACAAACTAGGTGAATCTGATCTTAGGGTGGGAATGACCTTTCTAAGCCTGTAGAAGTCAGAAACTTTAAAAAGTTTTAACTGCGTGAAAGTTATACATTTTGGAATGTAAACAACAACTAAAACTCACCATAAACAAAATTGAAGCATAAATGAAACATTGACAGAAAAGTATATGCAATCGAAATGGAAAACCCTCAAAATTATTTCTTTCTTCCAGTCCTTCTCCTTTCTGCTTTTCCTATAGCTGAAAGTGCTTTCATCCCATCCATCCATCCATCCATCCACCCAACATTTATTGAGCATCTAATATATCCTAGTGACTGTGCTTGGTTCTGGAGCCAAATTGGACATAACACACAGTCTCTACTCGCAAGGCATGCTCTCTGCATTTCCTCCTTACATCTCTGGCTATGGACTCTATTCTGTCCCTGAAAAGAATAGGGAGCATCTCATGACACTGACATTTGGAGAAGGATCAGGATACGATAAGGGAATGTGACAAATATCTCAGTCAGGCTTTCATGATTGGAGCCTCAGTTTCCTTTGGGTATCATGGCTGGGCCTGGCGACTGTACTCTGATCTAATGTCTTTCTTTTATGCAGACCCAGAACCAGATTGTCTACTTCATTCGCCAAGCACCAGTTCCCATCACTCCAGAGAACTTTGAGGCAATTGTGCAGTTTGGGACAGTGAGGGGTTCCTACATCCCAGCCCTGCTTCGCCTCCTCAGTGGTGTCTTTGCCCCTCAGATCTTTACAAACACAACCTGGCCTGAGAGCATTCGAAATCATTTTGCTTCTCATCTGCATAGGTTCTTGGCATGCCTGACAGGTGAGCAGAAAGGCTTAAGTGCCTGGAGCCTCAAGACTCTGTTCTAGTTCCCCACCAACAGCGGAGCGGGTGAGGTACATGGGAGATTAATCCCGAGTACTCTCATTGCCTGGCACGGAGTAGGTACTTGGTATGTGTTTATTGAATGAGTGGAAAAGGGTATAGAATTTGCCTTCTAATCCAGATACAGTTTTCTGCTATAGAGCAGTTGGCCAAACCTGCTCAAACTTAGAGTTGGAAATTCCTAGAGTAGATGTGGGAAATGTAGAGGAACAAAAGGAAATGTAGGTGGCATGGGGTAAGTAGGACAGTGCATGTATCATAGAAGAGAGTGTTGAGGGCATGGTACAGATCTTTGACCTTGTTTTGTAACAGTCTCTTATTATACCTCAGTGGGGTTTATCCCTTGCCTTCTATCATTTTTCCTCTTGATATTAAAAAAGTATGAGTCAGTTTTTCCTGCCTGCTCTCTATATTTATTTATTTATTTATTTATTTATTGGGGAATTGAGGGAAGGGGAACAGACAAGTTGCTGTCCTTTTGTTCTTCAGTCTAGTTGCGGAGGACGTTGCTTCACAGGCCCAAGTTGGCACCGTCATTGCGCTCTTCCCGGGCGAGGCAGATCAGTCGCCGGCTTCTGGACGGCTGCTCACTGCGGCTGCTGGCTGCTGGCTACATACGGTAGCCCATGGCAACCCACTGCAGCAGGGGCTGCAGCCTATGCCGTAGCCGGCGACTCACTGCAGCCCAGCTCCAGGTTAAGCTGTTGTTCAGCATCTTAGCTGTGGAGGGCAGTGTCACTGACCCTCATATGTGGGATCCGAACCGGGGCCCTCTGGCCCAAGCCAGTTCTTAACCATCATGCCACTTGGCCGGCCCCACAAAAAATTTTTATTATTCTTCATGTTATTATATACTTTTTGGAAGCAACATTTTTAATGGCCATATAGTGCTTGATTAGATGTATGTACCATGACTCTTGGACATTTTGCCATTTCTGTTTTTTTGTTCTCATAATAATACTGTGATGAATATTATAAGTAAAACTACCACATTTTGAAACACTTAGTATTTCCTTAACATAGATTTCTGTACATGGAATTACTGAATCAAAGAGTAAAAAACATTTCTAATGCTTTTAATACATAATGCCAAGCTGTTTTCCAAATAAATTGTATTTTTTCCTCTTACACTAGCAACAAATCCTTTCTAGGCCTGGGTGTTATCAATTTAGCAAGGATTTAAAAAAATATTAGGCAATAAATGATACATTTTTACTATTTTTATTTGTATTTCATTTTTTTCATATTTTCACTTTCTCTTTTTTATGACATGACATGTCTGTTTATGTCCTTTTTTACATTTATTTATTGGGGTCTTAGCGTTTTTCTCATTGGTACAAAAAAACCTATGTTTTTGTACAGAAAAGATTTAGATCACTAAGTTTTCTTGACTTGGAAACTTTAAATAAAATAGATTCCTTCTCATCTTCCAGGAGTACTGGGAGAAGGATATGATGGTTCAGTTTCACTGAGCTATATCTTTATATCTTCAAGTTTCTTTATTTGTTTAGTAGAGTTCTACAGAGTAATTTTTTTTTCTAGCCATCAGTTACAATTTATTTTCCATTTAATTGAGTTGTTCTTTGGTGTTTTCCAGTCTTTTCTTTTTCCCTCACTTCTTCCTCACTGTTATGCCAATTGACTTTTAACTAATATCTCATACTTATTACAGCATCCTGAGGAGGCTGCATCGTGAAGAAATTGCTGTTGTACCCTATCCCTTTTCCAGCTTGTCATCTCCTTGTTCCTAATTGCTTGATTTAGGTTAATGTGTTCCCTTAATTTAATTTGACTTTGAGGTTGAGGGTTGCTTGATAATGCATTTTTATAACCACAGGCATAAATGAAATATCTTGGGAAGATAACATCCCAAGGAAGGATAATCTTCCTTGAAAGGAAACTAAGGAAAACATTTAGTTTTCCCCATGATCGATTCTATTTTTACTCATAGAGACAAGAGAATCTTACTACCTTGTTTCTTCAAAAGTAATTCATCCTCAGCTTTCTCTTCACCATTCTGGACCTGTCTGACTTCTCTCATCTCCCATGTCCTCACATGTGATTATGGATGGGAGAAATGACTCACCCTAACAGCTGTATCTTTTCTTGGCTCTCTGTTCTCCTTCTGTAGAAGCCCTTTTTCCTGTCCCGAGCTGTGCTGACAGGACTGGCAGATGCCAAGTGGACAGGGGAGCATGATGCCATTCTGGAACACTTTGCCCAGGACCCTTCAGAGCCCATCCTCACCATCTTCATCGACCCCTGTTTGGGACTGAAGCTAGATCTGGGCATGCCTGTACAGGTGGGTACTCCACTTTCCCAGACTCCAAGGTGGCCCTCCAGGGAGCTGAGGGTTCTGCATATCTCCATCATCTTTGATTCTTATCTCCTGTGCCCAAGGTCTGTTGAGCCTCACAGTGTGTCAGACACCCTGCTTGGCAGCAGGATACAGACAGGAATGAGGCAGGGTTTTGCCTTTGATGATCTCATGGTCTAGTGGGGAAGACAGACATATAAAAATATTTACAATATATTATGATGCATGGGCAAAGCTTTATGGGAGCTTTATGGGAGCAAGTAATGTAGCCAGTGGGGTGCTGGCAAGGTTTGACAATGAAGGTGATATTTGAGTTGAGTATGAAGGGTAAGTAGGATTTCATCTAGTCTGCGTAAGAGCTGTCAGGTAAAGAACACTTTATGAACAAAGAAAAGAGGAGTTGTAGGAAGTGATATTGAAAAGATGGTTTTGGGTCAGCTTGTGAGGGGCCTTGTATGTTATTAAAAGAATTTGTCCTCTATCCCAAAGGGAAATATTGGAGGCTTTCATGGTTAGATAAATAACTATTTCAACAATGTGGAGGATACATTAGTGAGGGGTAAACCGTAGGTAGGGAGCTGGTTAAAAGACAGATGTACATGTAAGTGCATGGTGGAAAGTTCGTGAACTTAATTGTCTGGCCTTTCATATAGTAAAATGTTAGTGGTAGAATCTGGATGGTGGGTGTACAGGTAATTATTGTAAAATTCTTTTACGTGTGTTGTATGTTTGAAAATTTTGGAAATAAAATGTTGGAAAAGAAAAAAGGCTATTGCTTTGCTTTTATTGGCAGCACATACAAAAATCTCAATGATAATGAAGATGAGCATGGTCCTATGCAATGGCAATTTGTGAAATGTCCCATATGAAACAAAGGCAAAAATAGGCTATGGCTTTTCCCTGTATATTGGCAATAATCATCTACAAAACATCATGAAAAAAAGATTTCATTCACAAAAGGAATAAAAATTTGCAAAAAATATGTAGAATTTATATGAAAGAAAATAACTTTGTTGCAGGCCACAAAAGATTTGCATAAATGGTGAGCCATACCCTGTTTCTGGGTGGGAATCTTAATATTGTATGGCTCATCCCATCTAAAAAAAGTACCATTTTAATGTAACTCCAATAAAAATGCCATAGTCCCCAGATAACTTGTATAAAGGATTTTAAAATATATCCAGGAAAATGCATGAAAATAGCAAAGAAAATGATGAAGAAAGAAAGTAATGGAGGAGACTTGTGAATATGACAGTCTTTTATTAAATTACAGTAATTAAAAACAGTTGTACTGGGGCAGGAATATACATTATATAAGCAACAATAAAGAAACAAAATACAGAACCGTAATGTAAGCATTTTCTATAAAAATGGCACTTAAAATCTGAGGAGAAGGATTAATTATTCAATGAATAGAATTGGGAAACATGGAAAACAATGGTTTTTCATTTAAAAAAATCTATTTAGCTAGAGGGAGGGGAAATTGGGAGATGTTGGTCAAAGAGTACAACATTTCTGATACCAACAGCAAAGGCAATAAAAGCAAAAATAAACAAGTGGAACTACATCAAACTGAAAAGCTTGCACAACAAAGGAAGTCATCAACAAAATGAAAAAGCAACCTAAGGTATGGGAGAAAATATTTGCAAATCATAAATCCGATAAGAGGTTATTATCCAAAAAATATAAAGAACTCATAGCAAAAAGATAATCTGATTAAAAAATGAGCAAAGGAATTGAAAAGACACTTTTCCAAACAAGACATACAAATGGCCAACAGATTGGTCTGACAATTAAGTTCGAGAACTTGTTGCAAAGATGTTGCTAATCTTTTTTGATATCGAGGGATTATTCACCATGAATTTTTACCAAATGGACAAACAGTTAAGTAAGTTTACTATTTGGAAGTGTTGAAAAGGCTGTGTGAAAAAGTTACATGACCTGAATTTTTCACCAACAATTCATGGGTCTTGCATTACAACAATGCACCAGCTCACACGGCACTATCTGTGAGGGAGTTTTTAGCCAGTAAACAAATAACTGCATTGGAACACCCTCCCTACTCACCTGATCTGACTCCCAATTACTTCTTTACCTGAAGATAAAGGAAATATTGAAAGGAAGACATTTTGATGACATCAGGACATCAAGGGTAATACGATGACAGCTCTGATAGCCATTACAGAAAAACAGTTCCAAAATTACTTGAAAGGTGGACTAGGCACCGGCATTGGTGCATAGCTTCCCCAGGGGAGTACTTCAAAGGTGGCTGTAGTGATATTCAGCAATGAAGTATGTAGTACTTTTTCTAGGACGAGTTCATGAATTTAATTGTCTGACCATATGTGAAAAGATGCTCAACATTATTAATCATCAGGGAAATTAAAATCAAAACCACAATGAGATTTGCCTCACATCTGTTAGAATGGTTATCATAAAAAAGACAAGAGAATAACAAGTGTTGGTGAGGATGTGAATAAAAGGGAACCCTTGTGCATTGTTTTTGGGAATGTAAATTGGTGCAGCCACTATGGAAAATAGTATGGCGTTTCCTCAGAAAATTTAAAATAGAACTACCATATGATCCAGCAATCCGACTTATGTATCCAAAGGAAATGAAATCACTATCTTGAAGTGATATGTGCACCCTCATGTTCATTGTAGCATTATTTACAGTAGCCAAGACATGGAAACAGCCTAAGTGTCCACTGATGGGTGATGAACAGAAAAAGAAAATGTGATATATTTATATCACATTATATATATATATAAATTATATATATGTGTGTGTGTGTGTGTGTGTGTTGGAATCTATTCAGCAATGAGAAAAAAAAAATCCCTGCCATTTTCAACAACATGGATGGATCTTAAGGGCATTATACTAAGTGAAATAAGTCAGACAGAGAAAGACAATATTGTATCCTCTCACTTATATGTGGAATCTAGGGAAAAAACAAAAAACCTAACTCATTGAAACAGGTTGGTAGTTACCAGAGTCAGGGGATTGGAGAATAGGGAAATGGGTGAAGGCAGTGAAAAGGTACAAACTTCTAGGTATAAGATAAATATGTTCTGGGTATATAAAGTACAGCATGGTGACTGTAGTTAACAATACTGTATTATATATTTGAAAGTTGTTAAGTGAGTAGATCTTAAAAGTTCTCATGATAAGGAAATTTGTAACTGTGAGGTGATGGATGTTAAGTAAACTTGTAATCATTTTGCAATAGATTTATATATCAAATCATTATGTTGTACACCTTAAACTAATGTAATGTTTTTTTAAAAATTTTTATTTATTATTATTAGTTTGAAGGAAACTAATATAATGTTATAGGTCAATTATGTCTCAATAAAACTGAGGAAGAAAGGGTACAAAGTTTCAGTTATGTGAGATGAATTAAATTCTGGAGATCTAATATACAGCATGGTAACTATAGTTAATAATATTGTATTGTATACTTGAAATTTGCTAAGAGGGTAAATCTTAAGTGTTTTTACAATACACACACACACACACACACAAAAGAAAGAAATGGTAACTATGTGAGATGATGGATATGCTAATTATTAATAGCTTGATTGTGGTGATCATTTCACAATGTATACACATATTAAAACATTAAGTTACCTTAATATACAATTTTTATTTGTTAAATATGCCTCAAGAAAGCTGAAAAAAAAACTACTTAGCATGCTGAAATGCCTGCTAAATAGATCAGAGTTAATTATATTCTTCTGGGTTAAGATGGTCAATTGACACTTCCTTAAAAAATTATTATCCTTGAATACTTGATAAAATGAGCAAAAAGCAAAATGAGAAAATAACCACCTAAGAGTAAACAAACATGGAAAGAAACATAATCTAATCTAATCAACTTTAAAAGTGGTGGCCAATGAAAGGTCTATGCACTGAGTTAAGCAAACCATCCTCCTGACAGAAATGGCAGACCCCAGTAAGATGGAGTGAAACTTAGGGCATTTAACATAATCTGAAGAGAGATAGAACCCAGGTATTTTAACAAAGATTTTACGCTGTTTTAAATTAGCCTTAACCACCTGCCCATTTCCTCATGCAATTCTCTTAGGCTAGAGAAAAGTGAATAAAACATAAAAGACTCAAATCTTTCAGCTTAACTTTGAGAGGGATAAAAACTGGCTCTCACATTGGGACATCAAGAAGTCACCCCATAGTACATTACAGCAAAAGAATGAATACATAGAGCTGCTCAAGCATGAAGAAAGTGAAAAGAAATTGCATGGCAACTGCAAGCATATTAAGGGAGGGGGGGGAAAAAAGACCAAAAACAAAACAAAGCATGCAAATGAGGAAAACATAACTGAACAGGAGGACATTCCTCACAACAACATCATGTTATAGTTTGACTTAATAAGAGCATGAATGTAGTTTTTTAAAAGCTGAGAGGTGAAGTGATAAAACATGAGAATGAGACAAGAGGGAGATTGAAGATTTTAGGAAATTTGCAGCATGTTACAAAACTATTAGGTCAGAAAAAGTAAGGAACTGAATTGCTATCTCTGAAAATCTGAATTCACATAGAAGAGAGGCTTGAGATAATTAGTCTATGCAGGAGAAAAAAAACGACAGCACAATTAAAGAGAAGTTAATAGACATGGAAGACAGACACAGGTGATCTAATAGAGCCAATTAATGAAACAGAATATAAATTTAAAGGTAAAATACAAAGAATTTCCCTGAACTGCAGAAGGAACTCAATCTGGAAATTGAGAGGACATACTTTATTTCACAAAATTTGTTATACAATGTTTAATGTCAATACACATCTTAGTTAAGCTACTAAAATTCGAGGAAATTAATTCTTTAGAAGTATCACCTATGTGGTATTCCTGCCAAAAATATTTAACTTGAATCTAATAATGAGAAAATGATCAGATAAATCCAAATTAAGGGACATTTTGGAAAACAACTGGCCTGGATGATTAGAAATATGAGTGTCATGGAAGAAAGAAAAAGACTGGGGAACTGTGAGGAATTAAAGTTGACTAAGGTGACATAACCATGTGTGATCCTGGTTTGGATCCTGGATGGGGAAAAACCAGATGTGAATGACATTATTGGGATCATAAGGGAAAATTGAATATGGATTGTATATTATATAAAGTATTATGTGAAGTTAAATTTTCTGAATGTCATAGCTAGTGTTGGGTATGTTGGAGAATATCCTTGTTTTTAGGAGCTATATGAGTATGCTGAAGTATTTAAGGATGTAGTGTTATGATGTCTGCTGCTAACTTTCAAATGGCTAAGCTGAGAGAGAGAGAGAGAGAGAGAGAGAGAGAGAGAGAGAGAGAGAGAGAG